TGTCATCAAATCCCAATGGAATTACCAAAATGGCCGTTATCAAGCCTTTCGGCTTATATGAGTTCATCCGTATGCCTTCTGGCCTTCAGAACACCGCGTAGTCATTTCAGCGTTTCATGGATCATGTCTTTCGTGGCCTAGAGTTCGTTTTTACCCACAGCGACGTCCTAATAGCCAGTGCCACACCAGAACAGCACTTGGAACACCTCCGAAAAGTTTTCCCACATTTCGACCACCACGGAATTACCAACAATCCTGATAAATGTGTATTTGGTTAATCATGCGTCGATTTGCTTGGCCACAGTATTGACAGTATAGGCATCAATCCCATTCTGAGAAAACCCAGGTAATCACGGACTACCCACCGTCCTAATCTGTCAAGAACCTACACTGTTTCTTTGACATGGTCGATTAGCGTGGAAAGTTCATAAAAAACTGTGCTGCTGTTTTTTAACCACTAAATGATTTGCTTACTGATCATGCCTTCTCTGGTGTGCCCCGTGTAAAATAGAGAATATACCTCGCCTTATGTAAAGTAACGCGAAGAAGTGTACGCTTACATCGGAAGCCGAAACAACATTTCTTGCTATTAAGCAGGTTAAGCCAGATAACTAGCCTGAACTACTTGAAAACGAATGAAAAAGCCACTTTCATTCTTAAAACGTACGTCTAACAATTCGCTGTGGGAGCATCATCATTATCATAAGCATACATGTTAGCCAGAGGTGGGGAACACCTCAGCCACTGTGCCGCAATACACAGAAAAAGGAGAGAAAAAGCAACTCGTACAAGCCGGCTGAGCAACCGGTAACGGATGGGCATCGATCCGACAAGCTACCAGCCGGCTACTATGCATCAAAAAAATTACTAAGCAAAATTAAATAAGGCTAAATAATGAGATCGTGGTTGGAGGGGGAGGCTAAGAGGGATGGGGTGGGACAAAGAAACTCACAGCACGAACGCCACTGAGGTCGGCTCCTAGCCATATCAACAAGTGTGTCCAACCCAACGTGTTCATCGTCTTTCGGACCCCAACCAGGGAGCCGAGACGCTCCAACCGAGGCCAGCTCAGAGGTGAGGGCCTTCATTTCTCTCGACCAAGTCATCGCTTGACCACCTCTCCTCTTCTTCCATCCACACACTCGGCGCGAAAACGCACGTCACAGGAGTCGGCGCGCTGGCATGCGTAACACGTGGTCGAGCCATTGGAGTCTGGTGCGTGAAATAACGGTGCTGAGCGGTTCATTTCCTTTTCCTGTGCCGTAAACAAGGCGTAGAACACGCTCGTTGCTCATGCGGTGTTCCCACCAGATGTGAGCTAAATTACGAAGGCACCGGTGGTCGAACGTAACTAGCCTCTTCAGGTCCGCTGCTTTAAGCGGCCAGGTTTTACAACCGTACAGTAGAATCGAACTTACCGCTGCATTGTACACTCTACCCTTCAGGGCGAGAGCGATGTCACGCCGGCGCCACAAATGGCGAAGGTTAGCAAAAGAGCGTCAAGCTTCTGCTATACGGTTCATGATCTCATACTCAATCCCACGGGCGCTGATACAACTCCCCAGGTAGTTGAATTTTTGAATGACTTCTAGCTGATCCCCACCAAGGGTCAGCACAGGAGGCGGTCCAGACCAATCTTGGAGGGACGCTTTGCACTTCGAGGGTGCGAAGCAAAGCCCGAAGCGACTGACAGCCAGTGCTAATCTGTCCAGCGCGACTTGGCACGTCTGGAAGCTGTCACAGATGAGGGCAATATGGTCTGCATACTCTAAGTCAAGAAGTCGTTCTCCTGGGGTTAGCTCCACACCTTCTAAGTCGTGTCCTGTGAACGCGATTTCCATGACTTCGTCAACAGCGAAGTTAAAGAGGAAAGGTGACAGCGGGCATCCTTGTCTCACATCGCTGGAGATATTAAAGGGCGACGACAACTTGCCGTAAGCCCTCACTCTGCCCGAGCTAGGCGCATTTAATGCTCGGATAATATTTACATATTTCTCAGGTACAGCTTTCCTGAGTAGACAGTCCCAAAGTGCAAGTCTATCCACCGAATCGAATGCACCTTTGATATCGAGGAACAATATATGTGACGGTGCTCCAACAAATGACGCAAGGTGCGCTGTGGGAGCTGTTCTACAGCAACTGATGGACCGTGAGGTCCATTCATTATTCTTATTTTCACGGAAGCTTCAATCAGCACAGACTGGATACAGCATCTTCGGTCGTGAACTGCTCGCAATCTACTGAGCCGTCAAACCTTTTCGTTATTTCTCTGAAGGGCGAGGTTTGGTAAATATTGACGGGCCACAAGCACCTCGTTCCGCTTCCGATCGTTATTCCACAAGGGAAACATGGCACTTGGGTTACGCTTCTCAATTCTGTGCTAACACTCGTTAGCTCGGTGGTCCGAACAATGTTGTCGCAAATGCACTGTCTCGTGCTCATGTTCACCAGCTTTCGCCTTCACTCATTAACCTTGAGATGTCCGTTGCCCAGACGAACGATCCGAAACGTACACAACTTCGATCGAACGCCTTAGTGAAATTCTTGCAATTACCTGTGTTAAGCTCAGACGCAAGGATTTAGTGCCATATTTCCACCGGTAAGCCAAGATCTTTTGTTCCCCAGTCTTTCCGGCGGACCGTGTTTGACCATTTTCATGGACTATCGCACCCAAGCATTAGATCCACTGTGAAGTTAAGCACCGATCGTTACGTTTAGCCTAATATGGGCCCGGATAATCCGCAATGGGCTAAGCATTGTCGCAGCTGTCAGAGCAGCAAAGTTCATCGACACACTACTAGTGCCTCCGGGAATTTCTCACTTTCTGAAGCACGGTTTAGGCATGTTAACTTAGACTTAGTTGGACCACTCCCTCCATCTAACGGTATCACTTTTATTCTGACGTGTGTAGATCGTTTCCCTCGTTGACCACACACGCAATTCTTCTATATGACACTTTTACTGGAACTGTGGTTCGTAAATTTTCGAATCATGGAGTTCCTGTTTCGGTGTACCAGCTACGATCACTACTGATAGGGGATCTCCATTTAGCTTCACGTTGCTCCGTGACTTGAATCGCTTACTGAAATGTACTCACATCCGAACAACCGCTTATCATCCCGCTGCAAATGGCCTTGTCACACGTTTTTATCGACAGCTAAAAGCCTACATCACAGCCAGTTCACCTGACACACGTTGGTCTGAGCGCATTCCAACCGTTTGTGGCGGTATGTTGTCTACACAAGGTGTAGGCGCCTTGACCCTGAATGTTTGCTTAGGGCATTAAGGTTTTCAGGTAAGTCCCCCTTCTCTCCCTATTCTTATTCTTTATTTCATAGGTCATGGTTGTATGGCAGCGAAGCATCAGTTCAAATGGCTGATGTACTGCTGTTGATGATGATGATTCCAACCGTCCTTTTTGGTATTCGTAACACCATCAAAGAGGATAGTGGGTGTTGCTCTGCCGAACTCATCCTTGGCACGACTCTCAGACTACCAGGCGAGAGAACATTGGATTCCCGAGTCACTGAAGAATTGGATTCTGTTTCTTACGATGAACGCCTTAAACAGTACTTTCGAGCCATTTGAACTACTTCTCCTCGAATCACTGCTCGCGAACAACTAATGCATGCGGATTTGCACACTTGTCCCTTCGTTTACATTCGCATAGATGCAGTTCGAAAGCCCATAACACCTTCCTATGAAGACGCATTCAAGGTGTTATCATGAAAACTCAACTACATTACCCAGGAGAAGAATGACTCGAAGGGATCCGTGAGTATTGACCGTGTCAAACCTGCTTATGTTGAACGTTTAAACCAAGCTATTGTAACTGATTCCGGGTTGTGCCCCCCCCCCTGTTAGTCAATCGAGCGATGCTGATGTACTAGAAACTCCATGCACTCGGACAACGAACTATTCTGGACATACACGTTGAGGCCGTTCTGTATCGTTGCTCTCCAAACTAGCTGAATTTGTTTCTTAAACAAGTTTATCAAGCGTTTCCTTACCCGTTCACTCTCTATGGGGGGGGGGGGGGAGTAAGGAAGTGGTCATTATTGGTTTACATGTTTTCGTTAGCCTAGCTGATTTTATCACACCAAATGTACATTTTTTGGATATGACGAAAAAGGTACTAGAAAACACTTCCTCGAAAACCGCGCTCACGTCGCGCTGATTTTTGCCTGTGCGGCTTTTGTTTGTGTACGCAGGCTTCGAGTTTGCTTGAAAGCCTCATATCTGCTGCAGAATTACGATTGAATGTCTGCTTCGTAGTGTTTGACAGGTATATCATTCTTCGTAACTGGAACATAACTGTTATTTGACTAGGGGTTAGCTTTTTCTAAGGAAGCCTTTACATACTTACTATGCCAATACAAATCAATGCCAACAGTAACATCTTGCTAAAAGGGAGTGAAAAGGCAAGAAAGTGCTGTTATTTTGTCATACAGTATGCTTTTCACCATGGAGTCAAACTGACCCCCAGATATCAAAGATGTGGCTATTCCCATGGTACCAGAGCAGGGTTAAACACAGCAGGGATCGGCCACTTTAGAAAAATGTGTACAGGCTTGGTTGCCGCCGCACCGAATATCGACTGCGTAGATGTAGTAAGGAACAGAACAAATGAAGACCAGTGTGAAAATTACATTAATGTTAGTTGAATAATTTAGTAGAGACGTTCAGTCTCATCAAACCTGATGACACACTTGAAGTAACCGCGTCGGATCACATGCAGACGTAAGAATGGTCGTTGGGAAATCAAAGTTTTAGAGACTGCAACTTGTTCACTAACACATGAAATGGAACGACTGTTGCAAGGAAACGAACATGATCGATCCGGAATCTAAAATGGCAGCTGAGTTCAGTAACGAAGCAGTCACATTGAAAATCAACAGAGCAGGAAAATGAGTCCTATATAGATGACTGAAAACTTTGTAAATAAAATATCACTGAATTTCGGTGACGCAGAAGCAACTGCGGGTAAATAAGGAACTTACTGTCGGTCCCTTCCGTGTACATCTTAAAAATTGGGAGAGATACACCTATAACAAGATGACCAAGCAACGTTCGACTTGCCAGCAACGTTTTCTTTGCTCGTTTTAATTTTTCGGTGTGCTCTTGTAACGTTTTGCAAGACGAGACTGTTAATATTTGCAGCGGTGGTAAACTTGACGCTTGCTAGGGAAAACGTTGCTTCTTTCATCACATCCCCCATCATTTGTTTAGCCTACATAATAGTACAAACAAACGAACAACGAACTTCCACAATTTTTCGCAGTATAGAACGAAAACGTAAAGTTAGAGCGTCTGCTTTCTTTTTTAACAAACGGTGACCCTTCTGAGCACCACTAAGTCGGTTCTTCATCAGCGCCAACGCCCTTCAATTTAAGTAAACATGTAACACATCACTACTACATTCTGGAAGGAAACACATTGATACGATCCGCGGAAGCCGACATGAGGAAGAAGAACAACTGTAATTTGCCTCCGGTCGAGAACTTCGAAGGTAGCGGTGTTCAATACGTACGTAGATTGTATCAGACCTGGAGAACTGAAATGCAAAAGAAATACTTTGTAGGTCCTGGATAAAACTATAACAACCAACCAGTAAGAAATGGGGCTGGAAGAAAGATGAGCTGTATGAAGTTGTTAACGGCGGACAACGTTAGAGTTTTGAACAGCGAAATGAGAAGACATCACCGGCACGCCGGTGACGAGTGGTCAAGATGTCGGCGTTCCGGACCTCGTTGCGTCATACTAGTGCATGCCTTTTACGATTTGCCGAGGCCGTCGCGATAAGCCGGGTTAGACCAGCTTTGTGTGTCCAAAAGCAATCATTTGTCAACCTGCGGTTGCCGTGGTCCTAATCGCAACAACAACAATGACCATCACCATAAATTTGATTGGCTTGACTGTGCCCTGTAAGACATATAAAAGGATTTCCCCGTTAGTGTATTGGTACTGACGAGATAATATGAAATGCTAGCGTCTGCCAATATTCGTCTTCTCATTTCGTTGTTCAAACTACTGAAGAGAACTAACTGTTTTAAACGCTAGAGGTGTCAACGGCAAGAAAAGCAGAGTTGGCTTGTTCACAGTACCGCATAAGAAATAGGAAGGTTTAAAAAACCAACGGTTACATAATGGGCTGCTACAAAAACAAAAATTTATAGACCATTTTACAATGAGATCTGGGCAGTATGTGACCAGCCTGGACATTAACGGGGCGGGATAGTTTGCGTACCTCTGTGACTCACTGAGCGACGCTAGATGTAGGCGGAAAAATTAGCAAGAAAAGCGCAGCCTGCATGTCAATACCATACGTCAGATAACCACACCACCTGCGCCTTCTGCCGAGTTTCAGGATAAGCCATTATTTGTCTACCTAATGCGATGAACTATGCAAAGCTTCTCCTTGCAACGCACACCATGCTATCGAGACTTGTTCCCGATAACCTTATCTGACATCTGCTCCTACGGGATATTGTGCTATTCGTTGTTTTTCGAGTCATGTCTACGTGGTTTCATTCCAACCCGGCCGTTAGATATGGTCGCGCTCATACTGTGTAACAAGCCTAGGTGGCCCACCACTCGGCATGGATTTGCTCTCATCCCAAACCCGCTGTGACGACTGTGCATTCCAACCCCGTGCTAATAGCCCCAAGGGTGCCCAGGCCCTTGTAGAGCTTTGACCCCATATCCGAACCGAGACGCGATAACCTCATACCAGTTGAATGAAAAGACATCTAGTATCTTCCTGTGCGCCGTACAGCGGACCAAAGGGATAAGATTTCGGACGCATTAAAAAGAACCCTTGTATTCCTCTTTCGGAATCTCTGCTGTGTGGTCTTGCTACATGGTAGCAAGTGCGGCGACGTTATTTCACTGTATAACTGTTTGAAGACCCGGTTGTTTCAGGACTGAACGGGCACTTCTGAGGTAGGTAAATATGTATTTGATTTCTATTTTGGTTTATTAGTACATAATTAACGTCTCGGTTTCTTTTCTCGGTTGGACCAAGGAGATTTTACGAGTCACTCGAACCCCAAGCGAATGTATCACTTACACCAGATGATATTTTCCAAGTGCCTTCAGAGCCAGACAGATCAGTTGTTAGGGACCAGACTAAGGAGATAGACTAACGAATGCCCACGGTGGTGTCTTGCTTTACATCCGCTCTCTCCTGCGTGGGAGACTTGCGAGCACCTACCGAAGTGACGATGGTTTGTGTGAGCTACTGTGGTGCTCCATCCGCCTCAGGTGCGGACAACTACTTGGGGACGCAGTCTATCGCAGTCCCCTGAGTCGTTGTTTGGATTGGCTGCTGCATCTTCGAACCCACATAAGTCGTCCACATTGTCCACTTATGGGCGATGTTAACTGTCCATGAATACGATAGCCTGATGTGCATTTGATGCCTGGACATAGTGAGGTTGAAGCAAAGTTCGTGGATTTGGTACTTGAAACTGGTGCATCGCAACACATATGCCAGCCAACACGCAAACACCACGCTCAACCCCGTCCTGTCTCAACCTGATGTTAACTAGCTACGAATAACGAGTGCGTGGCGTTCGGATCCTGGAGCCCCTGAGTACAAACGACCACTCAGTGCTCATAGCTGATATGGAATTATCTTTGCCGTATTGAAGTCTGCTGGAACCAACTTACAACTACTGGAAAACGAACTTCGACGGTCTAGCTCAAGCCGCGAGCCAACTGGATTGGTCTCTGTTACAAGCTGCATCTGTGGAAGACGGTTGGATATTTATAAAAGAGATTGACATCATTGTGTTCCCAATTTGTGTCCTTGAAATGTCAGAACGTTGGACCGATATGGCCTCATTGGTTTGACAAGGCGTATGGAAATCTGGCTCGGAGGCGGCGCACTGTAAGACAAATTCCTCCTCTCTAGCTCTTCCAATGATAGCGAAAGGTATAAAAGTCAGCGGAACCTGTGCAACAGTGCAAAAAGGAATAGGCGCAGACATTTCAAAGAGCAGCTCTCAATCGCCGCGAAGACCGCCCCCAAGAGAATCTTTGCTTACCTGAAGCGACGCCTGAAGCCAGCAGGTGATGTGCCAGGGCAGGATGGCCCGCATGGACAGCCCCTAGCCTCCAGCACTGAGCGTGCGTCCGCATTGGCGGCATCTTGAGAGCTACTCCTACCAGGTTGGTCAATGGTGCGAGGTCAGACAAACTCAGTCTCCTGGTCCTCCAGGTTGGAGTTTGAAATGGGATGGCGTCCATTTCTGTAAAATTAAATCATTATCACCACCCCCGCTGCTTTGCGGACAGGCTTTTGAGCCAAAGGCTTTGAATGAGGAGCCTAATCGTCCTGTCTAGGTCTGGACGCCCTGGCAGTAGCTCAGCCCACATGCAACCATGACTTTTCCTACAAACATAAACTTCATCCTGCATAGGCCGTCGCGCAGATTATCAAGGGTTGCCTTATCTGCTGCATACAGCAGGGCGGATAAGCGAAAATATGCTACTGCTGGAGAATTTATTCTTCCTTTTCCACCTGTTTCTCTTACTCCCATCCCGATGCACATTACTAATCCTCCTTCTATAACTCCTAACGTCATTGACAGCAACCGAAGTGCCACTGGAGTAGAACCATCTGCAGCCACCATCCCACGGCACCTATCGGACGCCTATCGGCAAAAGTCCCTTATAAGGCCACGCTATCCCGTTTCCATGGTGACGTTCAAAGTTCGCACTCTTAGACGAATAGGTCAACAGACTGCACTCGCACGTACCCCGAACACACTGGGTATTGATGTGTGTGGTATGTTCGAAACTAGGATCAATGACCCTAACGTGGTAATTGAATTAACTGTACCCGACTTATCCTCTCATCATTGGTTGCACGCATCCGGAGACGCCGATGCAGCACTCACGGGTCAAGCTGGTGTAGGTATCATTCTAAGCTCCAAGGCTGCGATATCGTTGGTTGATTGGATTCCGGTGAACAGTCGTTTATGAGCAGCCCGTTTGATGACATCAGTTAAGTTTGATTCACGAAGTAATACAAAACGCTGTTTGTTTGTGATTTCCGTTTATGCCACCATCAACTGCAGTTCTAATGCTGTCAAGGACATATTCGGTCACGAACTGAACGTGCTACTAGTTCAAATATTCTAGTACTCGCAGGAGATGTGAACGCACAAATAGGGCGTCTGAACTCTTCAGAAGCTAAGATGGGTCGTAATTATGGGATTAACTTCGAACGGACTGACAACGGTGAGCGTCTGCTGCAACTGTGCGCGGAGCACCAGTTGTTTCTTACTAGCACTGCTTTTAGACACAGTGGGCGCCGAAGTGCCATTTGGCGTCCTCCTGTAGCTGGCTAGCGATGAACCGAAATTGACCACATAGCCGTAAGTTACAGATGGCGTGGTTCCATCCTGGATTGTCGCTCGTACTGCAGAACCTGCGTAGATTCTGATCATGCCTTAATACGCTGCCGTTTCTCCAGGAACTTTACTGGGAGATGCAAAAAGCGTCTCCTCCGATTGGCAGCTGAGATATAGTCTCAGCCCTCGGTCAGGCAAGCCTATCAAGACGCACTGCATACCGAACTTACGCTGTATTGTCCTAGTGAGACGGAAATTCACTTGTACAGGAGCTCGGCCGCGATGTACGACGCAGGGGCATCTGCTTCTGTGTTATAATCTTCTTACTAGACTCAATTCCAAAAATAACAACTTAATGCTTCACAAAACTCCTAGCCCAACCGAAGGAAAAAGCAAAACGCCAATGACCTTTACAAAATAACGTATTAATCGCCGCCAACGAACACTGTACAACTACTGCGGATCTTGGCTGTATTTATAGGTCTCTACTGACCTTCGACTTCTAGCATTGGAAGGTCAACTACCAAGATTAGTGGTTCCCCATTTCTTTTGCCGAGGTGTCAGGTGTTTTTTAATCACGTGCAGAAGTAGAACATTCTGGAACGTTCGAAATCGATGCGATAATCGTTAACAATCGATTAATCGCTAAAATAGTGAATTTCC